TATTGGTACAGTGATACTTCTGTCAACAGAGGCGGAACTAAGAATTTTTACGCCCGGGGAAAATATTAAAATTAAGCCCAATCATAGACCAAGATTGAAAATACAATATCATTCCCTACAATTGTTTTATCATAACTGGAACTAAAATTACAAACATACTTATTAACTTTTAAACACATAATAATATATAGTAATTAATATATTCTGTGGACTGTGGTGTAACCAAGTTTATACTAATAAACTATCACACCAAAAACACTTTAAATTTAAAAACTTAGTCAACATATTGTTGATACATTTTTAATTACTGGAAATACTGTGTTGGTAACTTAATTGTATTTATTATTAGAAATAATAATAATATTAGTTATATATAAATGTTGAAAAATAATCAAAACTTTAATTACCTACCTATCCTGTATGAAAATTGTAAACACTTTGCTGTTTTGGTTCTATGCGCCTCAGCCTTCAATCATAATAGATTTTTATGGTAAAATATAAAATCTTTTATTCTGATTAGGGTACACAATTTAGGCCAGTAAAAAATTGTATTTAATTAAACAATTTATAATAGAAAAAATGAAAAAGTAAATATTTAAATCAAATCTTTTTTTTAAACATAAACAAATGTATAACTATCTTGGTAAATATATTACTATTATAATATATTAACATCATTAACACTTTTCTTAAGTTTGGTTACACGTCTGTCTGTGATCAAATCTTGCGCGCTCGATTTGAGGCACTTTTTGAAGATGAAAAATTCTGAAAATTTGTATAGACCTTGGTCTTGGATGACAATACAATAATCCGTAAAAAAATTTTTTTTAACTAAAAAGTAGAAAATAAAAAATTAAAAAATTATTTTTTAAAAACACACTTTTCTAAAAAAACAAAAAAATAATGAAAAATTTAAAAGTGTGTGGCGCTCTTAAACTTGACATATTATACCACACACTTTTAAATTTTTCATTATTTTTTTGTTTTTTTAGAAAAGTGTGTTTTTAATTTTTAATATACAGATATAATATTATACGTATCGTACGTTGATTGATAATCTTATAACAGTTATTGTGTAGGTATCAGAAATTTTAACGAAAACACAGCATCAATAAATGCCTAGGTATAGTTACTAGTTACATTTTCACTCAGAATCTTAATAATTATAGTATATTAGTTGTATATGCTTGCAGTAGGTATGCTAATGCCAGTATACCAGTATATACTTAGTATACTAATACGAATCTATTCATAATCTTACCATTAACTTTATTTTTTTTTTCATTAATTCCAACGTCATCACTACAACATCATAAACAAATAATGTGAAATAAAAATGTTTTCTTAACTTCTATCACCAAGCATTAAATAAAGAACTAAAGAAAAATTACGCCCACTAAAATTTTACGCCCGGGGATCAATCCCCGGCTTCACCCCCCTAGTTCCGCCCCTGTCTGTCAACAGCCCTTTCTATACAACAGTATTTTTTTTGATTCCATTATTCAAGTATAATTCCTTTTATATTTGCCCCAAAATTATGTTCGCCTCTATAAAGTGCTCGTTTTTTCTGATCTATAATATGTATAGAAGTTTCTCTGTACTGTTATACTATTTTTTCCTTTTTTTTTTTTATTACCGTATATTGTATAACATGGGATTTTTTTTATATTATTGTAATATGATAAAGTGAAAGATAATTAAAACATTGGTATTACAATTAGTATATTTTAAGTAAACATTATTAGTAATACATATTATGAATATTTGCTGTTTTAATTAGACTTCACACAGTTGCTGATTGCTGAAACAATAAATTGAGCCAGTTGTATATTTAATCATAAAAGTCTTAAGTAAAATTGTAAAATAGTAATTGCAAAAATTAAAATATCATTATTTAAGTATTATTAATATTTAATTTCTACATTTATAATTTATGCCTAATTATAAATAAAATATATAAATATAAATAGGTACATAATACAATGTTGCAGAAATAATACAAATGCTGTTTTATTTCTTAAAAAATATGTTAAATGAAAATTTTGATTGTAAATTTAAATTGTGTGCTGTTTTTAACTTTAGGCCATATACATATGTGTGATCTCTATCTTAAGAATGTATAACATAACTAGCAAATTTGTGTCCAGCATAACCAACTTTGTACAGTTATATTTAAAATATTGAAACTCGATGAATTGATTTATTACCAAGCTATAAGGTTAAACATCTGTGTCTGTATGTTTGGTTTCTTAAATTAAAAAAATGATTAAGCAAGTTACTAGCATTTTTAAATAATCTTAAAAATAGACTCTAATATACTTATAGCCTCTTAATTTCTAACAAATATTGAAATATTGTAGAATAAAATATACCCACACAAATAATGTTCTTTACTTTAAGCCATGATATTAAGTTAATTCAATCTCGTATTAAATTTATAATTTTAAAATTAGTTCTACAAAATGCAAATTTGGTTTTGATATTTGTATGATATAACAACACATGTGGGTGAGATTTAATCTTAAAGTACATCAGCTATGATGTTATTTGAGTCATAATGCATAATTTTATACTACATTTTAAAACTTGTGCTTTATTTAAGTATTGATTAGTTTGTAGCAAGTAATTGCGCTTAAGTAACTGTGTTAAATTGCTCATTTATTATTTATGAAATGTTACTACTTTACTTGTAATTGCTAATTTTTAAAAGGTCTTAATGTTTATACTTCATTGTTTTTTACTGTTTTAATTTTACTATTTTATCAAATACCTATCTTGACACAGTGTCTTTCTGCAATTATGCATCAGGGTAAAATGTATTAATCTTAGAATAATAACTCTAATACAAATGATTTTTAACAATTTATTAAATAAATTGGATAATGTATATAATAAGAAGTTTAGTATGCGCATTCTAAATGTAGTAGCAATGTACTAAATTCTTATTAGCTATCAGAAATAGTTATTTATGACACATTTTGATGATTTTAGACTATTGAAAGCGGGTTTTTTTTTTGCATTTAGATGAATATTATTAGCAAAAGAAAAAATATATACTTTCAGAAGTGCAATTTGAATTCTAAACTAAAAAAATAGTTACTGCATTTATCAATATAAAACCAGCAATTGAAAAGACAGAGACTAATATGATTTTTTTTATTGCATCTTAATAATAATAAAACTAAAAATTTGGATTCACATGTGATATTTTAAGATAATTATTTTATAAAAATACATTTAGTTGTAAAAATACATTAGGTAGGTACTATAATTTTCATAAATTAAATTTTTATTAAACCCAGAAATTTTTCAAGTGATATTTAAAGACATTTTTGTTTAATTTTTATTAATTATTGTTTAGAAACAAAATAGAAGGTAGCGAGCATAGTTGATACTTATTATTTATAATTCCACTGTCCGTATTTTTAATTCATTAAGTTTAAATACCATCAAAATATAGTCTTAAACATAAATTATGAGCTACCTAAACATGACATGTAATGTATTAATCAAAGTAAGTAGGAAAGTTATATTTTTGTATGCTATTGCGCAATGTACTCATTCAATGCTGTTAATGTAATTTGTAAATGTAGTTTTCTACAAATGGTATTCCAAGTAGTTGAAAATTGCGTAAATCAAATCCCCTGTTTTGATACTAGCCGTTTTTAAATATTTTAATATTGGCAATTTCCTATACTCTTGTGTTGGCAAATTGTATTATTATTTTGTTGGTTTTTTGTTTGAATGTATCAATCTATTGTCAATCTGAAATCGTAATAACTTATTCATCAAGTAACATATTTTCTAAAATTAATTTAAATTCTTCTTGAAGTTTACTCGAAAATCATTTTCTCTCAATTTTAATCAATTTTTTAGTTCATTATAATCAACAATCTAAGATTCATAATATTCAAAATGTAATAATTTTAGTTATAAGAGTTTAGGAGTTTAATTACAAAAAATAGTAGAACAGATGTTACGTTCATGAAAAATAAAAACATGTTTAAAAAGTTTTATCCGATACTTAGGTAAAATGTTGGTACAACTATCATAAGACAGGTCTATTTTAGTAGTTAACACAGACAGAATATAATATCTCATAATGCCATGATTCTCATGCCAATTGTGTACATATTATTGTTAAGTTTAGTTTTAGTATGCAACACAAAAAACACTTATTAATTTTAAAACAGGTACACTACCTCAACCCAATAATAAACGTTAATTGTTAATTTAAAAAAAAATAAGTAAATTTTTGCCCACATTAATAGTTTGTACAACACAACATTTTAGGCGTTTATTTTAATGAAAGGATTATCAAATGAGGTATCATTTTTAGTTACACAGAAATTTGATGCATTTTTTTTTACAAAATAATTAATTATCTTGGATACCGAGTGATGTAGTCCTAAAAATGGGAATTTTTATGGGTATGCGCCTTAATCATTGTAAAAAATAACGTGGGGGGGCTAAGCCTAACCTCCGTACCACAATTTTTGTTACGGGTACACGCGTAAATATAAAATTAGGAGGTGGGTACACGCTGTGTACTTACATGTGAAAGCTTAGAAAACTTTTAAATTTATCTCCATCTAAATAAATGAAACATGTCATATTATTTCCATTGTCCATTAAATGTTTATATTATATGTGATAGTTTCTATGAATGATATGATGAATTATTATAAGGATCTAATATAAATAAAGACCTTAAGCCAGATGATATGTTTACTTAATACTTGGTAAAATGTTTTTGAATTAGCTTTATTTTAGAAGTACAAGTTTTATAATAAACATAAAAAAATGTATAATTTTATAAGAATAAAAAAAATGTCAAGTATATAATAATTAGTTATTATTAAGATTATTAATTTAGTTAACATTTAGTTTTTAATGGTTTTTTATTAAAATACATAATTTACAAACGACATATTATTAAAAAAATATATGAACTAAATGTCAACAAAATTAACAATGGCCTTTTCATGAGCTTCTCCCACTTAAACAGCAATTCTCTTGAAATCAGCCATATTTATTACAGTTGTAGGCATTCCAATAATATTCAAGCTATCTATTCTGGTTACGTCCACCTCAGTTTGATTGTTTACAACAAATATCTGTAGATTATGGACGTACTTGAATTTTACATATTTCAAGTTGACAATTTTACCATCTAATTCATCAGGTTGTAAATCCAGTTCTTGGGCAGCTAAATTATTTGTTGCAGTATCAAAATCTATGGTTTTTGTCTGGTTAATAAACAACTTCAATAATTTTGGTCCATTATTTTTAGGAGCTTTAACCTAAATGATAATAAAAAAGAAATATTGTATTTATATTTTGAAATAAGTCATATAAAAATAATCATTGAAAAAAATTATAGATTTCATCTACACATTAGTTTAGTTTAAAGGATCATAGTTTCATAAATATACTTAATTTTCATATAATAGCATTTATCACTTTTAATTGATTTACCTATTTAAATATTTTCTGTTCACAGTTGAATGAAATTCATTATTCAATTAATACATTAAGAAGTATCTATTAAACGGATCAAAGTGCAAAGTAACTTATTCATTTTTTAAAAATTATAAGATCATTCAAATATACTTCTACTACAAGTTGTAAAATATAGAATCAGTGTTTACTGTGGTACATGCATACTTAGTGTTTGAAGTATGAGAAATATTTCATTTTGAAATATTTCACTAAGTTGTGAAATATTTCACAAAAACGTGAAACATTGAAATTTTTTTACACAAATAAAAACACAATTTATTTATTTTTTTAACACAATGTTCAGTGTTCTAAATTCTAATGTCAGAATTCAGTAAGTATACAATATACATGTATAATAGGTACCTACTTGTATCATTTAAACATTAAAATATTTAAAAATTTTGAATACCAATTTAAATGTATAATACCAAAGGTTAGGTATACATACAGGTACCATATAGTGATGAAGGTAATTTATGACAATTATATGTAAATATAAATCTTATTTAAAAATAAAACAAAATATATTAAAATACTGAAATATTTCACATATTATGATACAGTATACCTAATGGTAGTCATTCGTCAGCCTGGTGTTGTATTTCCTTTTCAATTATTTCTGTTTAGGATTTCTAGATTCATCTTTGATGCTGAAACAATTATATTTTTATAGGAATTTCTAAATATTGTGTTTTTAGGAGGGTTAATTAAAATACATTTTTTTAAATTAACACTATACTTTCATTGAATTAGAAACACTAAATTATATTGATTTTAATACTTAATTACCTAAACTTAACAAACATGAATTGTGTATGTGGAATGAAATGCAATACATAAATCCATTACACCATGGAATCAACAGCAGGTAGTTGTGGGAAATCTTAGTTAGGTACTTATCTTAATTTACCTTAGCAGTTGACAACCCGGTGTTTGTAACACTAGCAATACGACCACATAATATTATATTACATTTGTTACTGCCTATTATTAAATGGTTAACTCACTTTGATGGAATGCACTCTGACCGGCTGTTTGAAAACCAATGACAAAATGAGTTGCTGATCACAGTCCGATTCAATGTAGCCACTGTTCTCGAAAAGCCTCGGCAGTGGATGCTCATCTGAATCATTGAGGGCCTCGCAATGGCGTTTTATAATGAAAGAGCTAAGATCCATATGGCCCGGTACTCCACAGTCATCGACGGCAGCAACATGAGAGGCTTCGTACAGATCCATGATTTTCACTTCGACGGCTGCGATATTGGCACCCCGGATCTTTGCCACCTGTAACTTATTTCGGTATAGTATGAAAGTTGGCGTGGTCGACACGCCTTCAATGGGGACTATTTCTGGGCACTTGTCAACGTACACTTCGAGGAACAGTGCACGGTCATACTTGTTCGACAGTTTTTCGAAATCAGGCTCGACCTGTTTGCACGTAGGGCACCAAATAGCGTAGAAGCCCGCGACGACTAGCTTCGTGCTGTTCAAGTTTAATATCTCTCGAAACAGGGAATCTTTCTCAATTTTTTTCACACCCATTTTGGCTGTTTGACAAGATCTTTGATTTCAAGTAAATTTGGAAACACTAATGAAACAAAGGGTGTTATAGCGGGATGTTATAGCAGGCAAACATGACAGAACGTCACACAAAAGATGAACATAAAGTGGCACTGGCTGAATTGTATTATAATCTGGTCATCGCCCATGGTATACGGACAGTTGGTCCGTGGACAAATTACACTAGGTCCCCATATAAAAATGCCCTATGCAGACAATCGGCCCAAGTCATAATTTTATACACAGTCCCTTGCCAATTTTTTTTTCGATACACTGAACATTTTTTTTTGCCGTAGCAGCAGCAACATTATAATAACTAATTTAAGTACGTATCACTAAGTAGTGAGTATGGAATTTATAAAACAGCAATTACAGAATTTGAAAAATAACGTATTTGAGACGTCAACCGCCAATTGTTCAACCATATCTTCTAAGGTTTTATAATTATAAAACTATAAGCGATAAATAAAAAACATTTCATCTTTTTGTATTAGTTTTAATATTAACTTTACAGAAAATGCATTTTTAAATTATTTGTTTATTCCAAGTATTACTATTAAATATCGAAGAAAATTTTATCCAATAATTATTTTTTACCTAATTATCATTTTAATTATATTAAATTATTAGAACGTTTTATGTTTAAAAAATATTTTGTAGCCTTGAAGCATGGGAACAATTTATTGCTCGTGTATGAAATTATGACGGCGGCCAATATTAATGTCCGCATACGGCGTTATTTCGGGTGGGCCAATTGTCCTGTGGTACATCTATCGAGACAGACAAAAATACTTGAGCTAATGTACTATAGGGCAAAAAACGGTCAGCCGGCGTTCTTGCCGTACAGACGATCAGTGGTGGGGATAAAATCAATTGTTAGCAGCTGACTCGTGGAATAGCCGCTGCCGGCTTTTTTCTGTTGCAGACAGTGTAGGCACGAACGGAGATAATATAAATAATTATAATCTGTAATTCGTGGTTGCATACATAGTGGAGGCCCGTCTTCTTTTTTGAAAAATATTTCAGCAAAGTTTTGAAATTGTCCAACCACAATTTATATTTATTTTTATTCTAACATCAACTTTTGGGGCAGGAAAAATGCTTTGATTTTCTACTTCAGCATCTTTTCTGGCGGGAATGTGAATCTGGTTGATACTTTGGGGGGATAACAAATAAAAATTCTCAGTAGTTATCGAAAGCGTCGAGAAAAACCAAAAAAAAATTAAGGAAATTCCAGGATTTTTACTCAAAACCAGTATTTTACAAAATACATTTTGTTTTTTTTTATGTAACTCAAAAAATAATAACCGTGGATACTTTAAATTTTCACTAAATTTGTATATTAGCATCTTTTATGAACCGTAAAATATTTTGAATTTGTTTAAGCTATTAAAATTAAAATTTTTACTAGTTTTATGTAACTATTGTCATTAACAATTTTTTGCTATATCAAAAAAATTGAAAATAAAATGCAAGGTTCCACATAGGTTATCCCTTAAGTCACTGTTAATAGAAATTAAAAAAAAAAGTTGAGCGTAAATCAACAATAAATTTTATGACCGTCAAAAGTAAACATTTTAAATAAATCCGTCAAAATCACGAAAATCAGCATTTTATTTTGAGTTACAAATTGATTAAAATTGTTTGTTAATTTGTTGGTTTAAAAATGTATAACAAGGCTCTTATCATAAGTTTTTTTCTACCTTTAACATTTACCAGAAAGTTAATTCAATTTTTATGAGCGTTGAAGTTCAAATTTTCACGACATTTGATATTCACCCGAATTTTCACTGAACGATATTCTTATTTGGATGCACACTTGTACCTAATTCCAAACTTAAAATTTTTATATTGTTTAATTTTATTATTTTCCATACACGATAAAATTTTCAAAATATTTCCATTTGTTTTGAGATATTTTTAAACATAAACATTTGAAATTTGAAATTATTTTTAGTTTTTTCTATAAATGTTCAAATAAAGTTTTAGTTGGTTCAAAAAGCTTAAGCTTAAATAAAAGGTTTCTTATAAGTTATTATAATAGCAGTTGAACAATTTTAAAGATACGTCGGCACGATTTCTATTTAATATTTATAAGCATTAAAAGTTCAAATTTTGACAAATATCATCAAACTATCGAAAATTTCCATATTATTTTGTACTCAGTTATAAATGTATACAATATTCAATTTTTATAGCTGAGAATTGGAAACTTTAAACAACGTTTCTCATAAATAATTCATACTCTAGCCAAAAAAGGTAAAAATATACGAACACAGGATTTTATTGATATTTAAACTTGGGACTGGAACCTAAAAGCTTTTGAATTGATCGGTATCGATTCCGGTACCTGTTTCTCCAAAAATAAAGTAATTGCCCCAGTTCGACTCTGGTTTTTTGAAAAAATAAAAAAAAGGTATCGCTACCAAATAATTTTGGTACCGGTTCCAGATAATTTAGGTACCGAAATGTATAATAATTTTAAATACCTATCCAAAAATCGGGTTTAATTAAGAGTATGATAAATATTATAATACCATTAAATTATGATAAATTTTTTTTTTTTTGAACCTAAAAGAACCTATTTTATTTAAAAATTCCTGTTCTGTTCCTTTACTTTATATATTAAAATAAAGGTTTCAGTTCCGGTCCTAGTTCTTATTATTTTAAAGGTTTCGGTCCCAGAACCGGTTTTCCTAAGGTTCGGTTCCAGTCCCTGATTAAAACAAAGAATAATAATTTTAGTATTCGTTGTAATTTAAAAATATTGTTCATGGGTCCTTGACATTTTTAAAGCATATTATTATATTGTATACATTATACACACAATAATAATTTCCAATGTAATTTTTTTAGCTAACCAACTGTATTCATAAAATATACTTAGTAAAATTATAGACTGGCCGTCTTCGCTCAAAACCATTTTTCGTGTATACAATTATTTTATATCACATTTTATTATCACCTCCGTTACAGCGACCACTCTATAAACACCTACTGCAGATCGTGACGTACTTAAAACTCTCTCACTTTTTTTAATTAGACTATACCATGATTGTGTGTGGTGAAATTGTCTACCGATAATTTTCCATTAGAGTAAATTTAATAAATGCTATTTAATATAGGTTTTTCGAAATCTATATAGTTATATGATGTGGTAATAATTATAAATTTAGAGTAGAACATTCATCAACAATTATATTGTTATTATATTTGTGTAATGATTATTAATCGAAATATTTCTGTAATTCTGTCGATTTGGCTGGCAAGTAAAGTAAAACAAATATTATAGAAAGTGAACAGTTGAATAAAAAAACAGGCTGAATATTTGAAATTTCTATCCACATATTATAATGTATCAATTTATTTAAGGAATGGATTGTTTGTATGACCCAAAAAAACTATATTTTTTGTTAATCATTAATTAACCAAAAATCTCCACCTTTCTTCATTTTTAAATCCATTGTTTTACTTCTTGTAAAATGGTTGATTTTTAGGTAGTACTTTTCGTCGGGCTTCATATATATTTTTCCTCGTCCTTATTCTACCTTTTCATATTAAATTGAGAAGCTACTATATATTTTTTCCAAACTCTTTTAAAATATATAAAATATATAGGTTGGTATCATGAAAAAATATCAAGGACTATAACATTTTCGTCACTATACGTACCTATATTATTATTTACTTCAAGCAACAAGGCCATTTTGTTGTTCCATCACACCTGGCTACGGTACGTCGGTATTGTCTTATATAAGGTTTGTGGTATGATTATGAAACGCTATAGTACCGTAAATCGTAATACTAGGTCTAGTATATACCGCAATGCTGGTAGGTACGCGTACCGGAAAATAATAGCCGGTATACTGGAAAGATCGTAGACCCTAATCTATTATTACAATATATAAGTTAATAACACTTGGTATTTAATATTAAATGAAACAATATTATAATAATAATTACTCATACCCACTATGCAAATTGTATTTGACAAAAATTATTCCAACCTACGACCGTATTACTTATAGAAAAATCAACTAAGTTCTATAAAAGCAAAATAATTATATGATAAAATATACTTAGAAATATACAGTGTTCGGATCGTTCATAAAAAAAAAAATGAATTCGTCCACGTTTAAGTTCAGTGCTTAAAAAAGGAACTAGTTAACTATCAAATTCATATTTTTTTCAAATGATCACGTTCACGTTCTTTGAATATTTGAATGCGTTCATTTCGACGTTCATTTAATTTATTTTATTTTATTTTTATGTATCGTTTAAATCGTGGATTCATAATATTATCTTATTAATCATATTATTGTTGTTTTATGACCAGGAATTCCATGCATTTTATTTTTCTAATTCGTAATATATTATATATCATAATTGTATTATCTATAAATATTTATTAAATATCAAATAAATTTGAACGTCTTAAGAATCGTCCAACTTCATTAAATTAAACTTCGTTCACGTTTACGTTCTATTTGAAAAGAAACGAATGTATCGTTCACTAAATATGAACGTGAATAAAACTCGTGAACTTTCAAAACACTGGAAATATATTGGTAGGTTGACCGGTTGACATGATTTGTATTTAACATATTCATTATATTGACTTATACTCAATGATGGCTACACTCGAAATCTACTATATATACAGAAGAGAGAGAGTCCCGTGTTATATTTTGTAGTGCGAAAATAAAAATTTTAATTTGATTACATTTAAATAAATAATTTCCCAACGAATAATATCTGTTCAATAGCAAACCACAAACTGAAAAATTCAATCCAGAATAGAGAATTTAAATGTACTAAAATTATTATAAACAGGTTACAAGAACGTGTTCCATTATCATATAGGCACCTACCTCTACCTATCTATATTCTACTACTTTCGTGTGTAGTAATGATATGCCTACCTATATAATAATTTAAATAAATTAGGTATTAGTTATGATTGTATGAATATGCATAATATG